ATGCACTTTGTATACTTTTATAAAATAAATTATTCATATTCTACAAGCATTTAAACAAATACCCATATATTTACAAGCAAATGAAAATAATCATAGCTTGATTCGGTATTCGTTACTTCGGATCCTGATGAGTAACGAGTACTCGAATACCGATTAGTTACTTTTTTCTCACCACTACTCTATATATATCCCGGTAAGACACCAGGATAAAAGCAGTAAGAACTTACCACTTATTTCGTTCGTTGCCCGTAAGAAATTAAACATTTGCTCTGCGTTTGGAAAAAAATCATGCCATACGGAAGTTTTCACCAGTTTCACACACCGAACCACAGAATCAATCTGATGATAGAATCATTTGCTTGGTCGCCCTTTGGATGACTAATTCCTTTGCTTCGCAGTTCGATTCCAGTTTTTTGCTGTTTACATGTTTTTTGTTGCTTACATTTTTAAAGGCAGGATTCTGAATTAAACTGGTTCTGACGATCGCCGTGAACAAAGCAGCTTTTCCAGCCTAATATAAACAATTCCAATAGCGGGGAGGAGTAGACTTTATAATATAAAATTATGAGAGCCTAAGCTAGTGAACTCTAATCGTCTAATTGCTCTTCCCTTTTAATTCATAACTAAAAATAACTACTAAAAATTAAGCTTAATTAGAATGGAACAGGTAAGAATTGTATAGTTCAGCAGCGCATGGGTCACGAAAAAATTCCCGTTGCGTTTGGGACAGCAAAAGCAATGAATGTGAGTTTTCAGGAAATTCGTAACTTTTGAATAGTTTAAAATTAAGATTATTTTATCTTATATTTGCATGTTGTTCGTCGTTCTTTTGCTCTTGATTACTCAATTTTCAGTTGCTTAATAAACTGTTCAAGCATATAATGACAGCAGTTCTGTTTAGAATAAATAATATCGACTTTATTAACTTATTTATATTGTTCAGACAATAAAAGTCACACTAAGATATGATAAAAGTAGACACTACTTTGGAACGCTTAAAGGTTTTTTAAGCCTGTCAAATAAAATGAACGTTTACTAGCCCAAACTGTAACCTTTGATTTAAATAAAACTTCCATTAAATTATTGCTGCCGAATTTATGCCCATTTGAGAGTAGCTGACCTTTTCCAGTGCCAAAATAAATTACTTTTCTTATCTGAAAGCCTTTAGAAAATGGGCCGTGATAAATCTAGGACCTCGAAAGAGCCGCTACACAATTTTGCCATTTGCATTACTTATATTTAGAGACCTTCAGACCGTGGATAAATCGGGTTCGGGATACTTTTGCTCGAGGAAAAACTATTCGGACCTGAATAAGAATCCGCTTTGAATAGGTTTTTCTTACGGATAGAAGGTTGGTAGTGTACTGAATGCATCAATTAGTTTTAATGATTGTGATGAAAAGCTGAAAGCAAAAAAGCGGAAAGGTTGCATGATTATACGATCAGTCAAAGGCCGGTGCAAGTTTGTTGTTTTTCGAGGTTTTAGAAAGTTTAGTTGCGCTAATACGCAAGTAACAAAAAGTGATTTTTTAAATTATAAATAAATTTTTCGTCAAAAATGTCCTGGTTTAGTTTCTTAAATGAGACTCTGCTTTGGCAGCAAAATATTTGTGCAGGATGTTAAAATGTATTTCAATAAACTAAATTGAAGAAACAGCCAAGTACCAGATATTTAAAAAAACACCAAAGGGATTAGAGAAATAATAAGAGCATAAGAAAAAAAGACTGATTTAATTGCTAATTAGGAAAAGTAGGTCTGTTATATAAAGATATTTTTTTTTATTTATGTAATGAATACTCAAAAGAATTTACGAGATATTTTATTAGATAACCGGTATTTTATCTATACATGCTTTAGAAGTATAATAAATACAATAATAATCAAGTTTAGGTAAAATATAATTCAATGCTTTAGAAGTTATTTTTAAATATTAGTTGCAGCTTTTTAACTGCAAAATAAATATTAAAAAAATGCTAAAAATATATATTACGAGATCTATTTTTACTTATAATTAAACTAATAAATAAAATCGTAATTCAGTTTAGATAAGTATGTATACAAATCAAAGATTCAGAAATATATTTAAAATATTACTATTAAAATCTTTTTAATTGCAAAATCAGAAACTTGGTAGATGTTATAATTTAAATATTTATTAGGCAATATTGAATCGAGGATGAATTCGTAAAAGTCACAGAAACAGTAAAGCGCAATTAAAATTGTATTTAAACTTTAACTCAAGATAAAAGCATACTACAATAAAGCATGATTAATTCGCATTGAAAAATAATCGAGTTGCA